TTGAAACCTCCACCCTCCCCTCCCTCCACCCTCCCTTCCCTCCACTCCCTCCTCGGCGTGAACGCTGCACGGTGGCCTTCCCTCCCGTCCTGCACACATGTTTGCGACAACGTGTACCGGACGGGGACGCGGGCACCACCTCTTGCACCTCGGCGTCGACCAGACACAGCTACCCCCCAGGGCGTCGCGATGCAGCAGACAACGCCCCGCCCTGCCGCCCCTTTCTTCGGCCCGACTTTGAGAACGTCGGGGAATGCCAAAAAGTTTTCCAGTTGCGCGGCGTCACCGCCGCCGCCACCGCCGCGGACAGCCGCTCGTTAGTATTCATGGGACGCCAGCGCCCGCGGCTCACCGGGAGGGCTCGCCGGCTGCTCGCCGGAGGCCCCGGCGGCCCCCCGGGCCCGACGACCGACCGCATCAGCACGTTTTTATGCCACCAGGCTTTCGACTGGAACGTTAATTCTATTTCCGTATTCAGCGCCGAGCGGACGGCGGCGGACGGCGCGGCGGACGCGGAGAGGAGGGGGGGGGGGGAGAGAGACAGCGAACCGGCCAATTACAACAATGGCCTTTTAAGGTTATGGTGCGGCCGCTCCAGCAGCTCCAGCAGCAGCAGCAGCAGCAGCACCAGCTGCGGCACCTGCACACATTTCCCTTTGCTTTTCTCATCTTGCTCGCTCTCGCAACACCCTGCTCCAGCAGCAGCAGCAGACGACACGACCGACTCGGCCGCGCAATGACGACACACTCCTAACTGAGATCATCAGCAGCTTCATGAAGCGCATCATCGCCCGCCTCGAGGTCGTCACGGAGGGGAAAATAAAATAAAAATAATCATCTATTAATATACACGGTGCGCTTCACTTGACGCTGCGCGGAGTTTGCCGGCCGTACACCTCATCGTCGTGACGATGACGAGGCGTCCCGCGAGGTTGAGCGGTGTGTGGTGCTACGGACGCTGGCGCTGGCCGAGCCGGAAGCCCAAACTCTATCCCGGGTCGAAAGGCCTCGGTCGGAGGCAAGCATGGCCAATGCCGCGCCCGCCCATGAAGGTCGACGTGCTGCCCGCCGGACTGTGTATGCTCGCGTAGTGCACACACCCGAACGCCCGCGCCGAGCTCGCGGCCCGAGAGGCGGGGCACTGTGCGGGCGGGACGCGTCGTGAGCCTCCAGAGAGTGGGTCAGGAGGTTCACTGCCTCCCCGAGCACGAGCGCGGCCGCGGCCGCTGACTCCTCTCTCTCTCTCTCTCTCTCTCCCTCTCTCTCTCTCTCTCTCTCTCTCCCTCTCTCTGCCCCGCGCCCGCACCGCGAGCGTCGGCCAGCAAGAGAGGGGCCCCTCGTGCCCACGAGAGACGAAGTTGGGTGCAAAATAAACATTTCCACTTAAATATGCCTCTGAAATTATTTATTAATAAGGAACAGAGGATTAAGGACAGCTGTGCGGAAATTCGCCATTGTAGTTGGCAGTTACCGTGCTAATTCGACTTGTATTTTATTTTTTTAAAGTTATTTTGATGGGTCTGCTTGGCTTGCTCCGGGATGATGTTCACACCCCCCGTTTTCGAGTGGAGAAAGACGCTCTCCTGCGATTGTGACCCCCCCCCCTCCTCCTCCGCCCACACACACTCACACACTCAGAGACGCGTGCCACTGTCGGCCTGTTTCGCCAGCAACAGCAGCAGCAGGCCGCCTACGCTTGGACCCTTTTCAATTTCCTGCACACGACACACACACACAGGCTTCTTATCTTCGACACGTATCGTACGCCTCGAGCACAACTCGACTGTGAGATCACCCCC